CCAGAGACTGCGGACACAGTACAGGAGATGGCCAGAGACTGCGGACACAGTACAGGAGATGGCCAGAGACTGCGGACACAGTACAGGAGATGGCCAGAGACTGCGGACACAGTACAGGAGATGGCCAGAGACTGCGGACACAGTACAGGAGATGGCCAGAGACTGCTGACACAGTACAGGAGATGGCCAGAGACTGCTGACACAGTACAGGAGATGGCCAGAGACTGCGGACACAGTACAGGAGATGGCCAGAGACTGCGGACACAGTACAGGAGATGGCCAGAGACTGCGGACACAGTACAGGAGATGGCCAGAGACTGCGGACACAGTACAGGAGATGGCCAGAGACTGCGGACACAGTACAGGAGATGGCCAGAGACTGCGGACACAGTACAGGAGATGGCCAGAGACTGCGGACACAGTACAGGAGATGGCCAGAGACTGCGGACACAGTACAGGAGATGGCCAGAGACTGCGGACACAGTACAGGAGATGGCCAGAGACTGCGGACACAGTACAGGAGATGGCCAGAGACTGCGGGATGGCACAGTACAGTAGATGACCAGAGACTGCGGACACAGTACAGGAGATGACCAGAGACTGCGAAAACAGTACAGGAGATGACCAGAGACTGCGAACACAGTACAGGAGATGACCAGAGACTGCGGGCACAGTACAGAAGATGACCAGAGACTGCGGGCACAGTACAGGAGATGACCAGAGACTGCGGACACAGTACAGGAGATGACCAGAGACTGCGGGCACAGTACAGGAGATGACCGAGAGACTGCGGACAAAATACAGGAGATAACCAGAGACTGCGGACATACAACGGCGGCGGGAATACTGGGCCGGCCGCTCCATAAGACGCACAGACATTTCCCCCCCAAGTGTGTCTTATGGAGCAAAATAGTGCCCCATCATTGGTGTCAGTGGGAGGAATAGTGTCCCATCATTAGTGTCAGTGGGAGGAATAGTGCCCCTTCATTGGTGTCAGTGGGGGGAATAGTGCCCCATCATTGGTGTCAGTGGGGGGAATAGTGCCCCATCATTGGTGTCAGTGGGGGGAGGAATAGTGCCCCATCATTGGTGTCAGTGGGGGGAGGAATAGTGCCCCATCATTGGTGTCAGTGGGGGGAGGAATAGTGCCCCATCATTGGTGTCAGTGGGGGGAGGAATAGTGCCCCATCATTGGTGTCAGTGGGGGGAGGAATAGTGCCCCATCATTGGTGTCAGTGGGGGGAGGAATAGTGCCCCATCAGTGTCAGTGGGGGGAGGAATAGTGCCCCATCAGTGTCAGTGGGGGGAGGAATAGTGTCCCATCAGTGTCAGTGGGGGGAGGAATAGTGTCCCATCAGTGTCAGTGGGGGGAGGAATAGTGCCACATTGTTGGTGTCAGTGGGGGGAGGAATAGTGCCACATCGTTGGTGTCAGTGTGTGGGGGGGGGGGGGAATAGTGCCCCGTCATTGGTGTCAGTGGGGGAAGGGGATAGTGTCCCAACATTGGTGTCAGTGGGAGGAATAGTGTTCCATCGTTGGTGTCAGTGGGGGGAGGAATAGTGCCCCATCATTCGTATCAGTGAAACCAATGATGGGGCACTATTCCTCCCTCTGACACCAATGACACTTAACTTGCTGACCCCTGTTCCAGCATGGTGCTGCTGCAGCCAGCATACCTGGTTGCAGCAGCACCATCTGCACGGTACACTTAACTGTCAGCTGTCCTTCACTCCGGCCTCTCTCTCACTCAATGTTCGCGGGGCTGCTCCGCCTCCTCGCAGGTGATTGGCCGCCTGTGTGCCTTTCCTGAGATACAGTTCTGGCGCCCAATCACCAGTGAGGAGGCGGAGCCGAGCAGCAGCGTGTGAACATCGAGTGAGGGAGTGGTCGGAGTGAATGAAGGAGCAGTGCTTCCTGGACTGGATTGTCGTGGGACTGGGACACGGAGCCAGGTAAGATACAGCAGCCCCCTGCCCGCCCCTGTACTTAGTGTCCCTTCCTCGCGGCAAATACACCCCTGCCGGCGGGCCTGATAAATGTCCTTGGCGGGCCGCATGTGGCCTGCGAGCCGTAGTTTGAGGACCCCTGGTCTAAACCACTGGCAACAAAATGAGTACACCCCTAAGTAAAAATGTCCACATTGGGCCCAATTAGCCATTTTCCCTCCCCGATGTCTAGTGAGTCAATGATACAAGGTATCGGGTGTGAATGGGGAGCAGGTGTGTTAAATTTGGTGTTATCGCTCTCACACTGGTCACTGGAAGTTCAACATGGCACCTCATGGCAAAGAACTCTCTGAGGATCTGAAAAAAAAAAAAAGAATTGCTCTACATAAAGATGGCCTAGGCTATAAGAAGATTGCCAAGACCCTGAAACTGAGCAGCAGCACGGTGGCCAAGACCATACAGCGGGTTAACAGGACAGGTTCCACTCAGAACAGGCCTCACCATGGTCAACCAAAGAAAGCTGAGTGCACGTGCTCAGTGTCATATCCAGAGCTTGTCTTTGTAAAATAGACGTATGAGTACTGCCAGCATTGCTGCAGAGGTTGAAGGGGTGGGGGTTCAGCCTGTCAGTGCTCAGACCGCACACTGCATCAAATTGGTTGGCATGGCTGTTGTCCCATTAGGATGCCTCTTCTAAAGATGATGCACAAGATAGCCTGCAGTTTGCTGAAGACAAGCAGACTAAGGGCATGGATTACTGGAACCATGTCCTGTGGTCTGATGAGACCAAGATAAACTGATTTGGTTCAGATGGTGTCAAGCGTGTGTGGCAGCAACCAGGTGAGGAGTACAAAGACAAGTGTGTCTTGCCTACATTCAAGCATGGTGCTAGGAGTTTCATGGTCTGGGGCTGCATGAATGCTGCTGGCACTGGGAAGCTTCAGTTCACTGAGGGCACCATGAATGCCAAGATGTACTGTGACATACTGAAGCAGAGCATGATATCCTCCCTTCGGAGTCTGGGCTGCTAACACACCTCCAAGACGACCACTGCCTTGCTAAAGAAGCTGAGGGTAAAGGTGATGGACTGGCCAAGCATGTCTCCAGACCTAAACCCTATTGAGCATCTGTGGGGCATCCTCAAATGGAAGGTGGAGGAGCGCAAGGTCTCTAACATCCACCAGCTTCGTGATGTTGTCATGGAGGAGTGGAAGAGAACTCCAGTGGCAACCTGTGAAGCTCTGGTGAACTCCATGCCCAAGAGGGTTAAGGCAGTGCTGGAAAATAATGGTGACCACACAAAATATAGACATTTAGGACCCAATTTGGACATTTTCACTTAGGGGTGTACTCACTTTTGTTGCCAGCGGTTTAGACATTAATGACTGTGTATTGAGTTATTTTGAGGGGACAGCAAATTTACACTGTTATACAAGCTGTACACTCACTACTTTACATTGTAGCAAAGTGTCATTTCTTCAGTGTTGTCAAATGAAAAGATATAATAAAATATTTACAAAAATGTGAGGGGTGTACTCACTTCCGTGAGATACTATATTTACACGGCTGGAACTGTTCCTAGCTTGTTACCTTTGCTATTTTCTGATGTTTAAAAGGAGGAAGAGCTGAAAACCCTGCACTGGCCCTGGGTAGTAATTTAACAGACCTTGTTATTAGACTATTCATTCCACCAACAAGCTTACCATGCGATCATATGCGTACTTTTATGCATGTTATTTATTTGTAAAAGCCTCCTTTGTGTAGACTACTGCTGGGCACAACCTTTTTAGATTTGGTATCAGCCACCTCAGCACACTATGGAGCTATCATCCAAATAACACTATGTATTCCCCTTCACTACTCTCCTACCTGCTACATTAAAGGGTTAGTTTTGTTTTTAAAAAATACTCTATGCAGTTCATGAACACTACTCCATTATCTCAAACTAATCTGATTTTAAAAAAATTATACATTTATGCTCCTCCCATGTCAAAAAAACAACAAATTCCCAGCTCACTTATCAGCCAGCCTGTAACAAACTGAATTGACCCGAACAGTTCACCATAAAATCAAGGAGTTTAGTTTGCACACATTTGCGTAAGCTGCAGCAGCGACGACATGGCACCCCAGTCTACTGCAGTCCTAACTCTAATTTTGATAGTCTTGGACTGCAGTACACTGGGGTGCCGTGACATAGCCACTGCAGCTTATGCATATATTTGCAGATGTGTGCACAATAAACCCCTTGGTTTTAAAGTGAACAGTTAGACAGGATCAATTTGGTTAGTTGCAGGCTGGCGGTAAGTGAGCCCAGAATTTTTGTTTGTTATATTTGGCAAGTGTCGCCCTTCCATGTGCTCCTTGCTGCAATCCCCAGGAGGTTGGGGTTGTTGCCATTTGCGTGTATGCTCCTCCTATACCTGCAGGCCATTTTTGAACAGAGTGAAGCCTGCTTCAAACACTTCTGATATTTTTGCTCTGTCCTGTCCTCTTCTTTAGGATGGACCAGCAGTTAGGATGACCCCTCCGAGAGATACAGAAGTGAGTGCCATCCTTCTGAGCTCCACACACATGCAGCACTATCTCCGGTCACCAGAGATGAAAGCAGTAGCTGCAAACACACTCTCTCCTGTCGAAGCCACTAAGCGTATCTGCTCAGAGGAGAGCATAAAGCACATGTGCAGGGCTTGGAAAAAGGACGGTGCTTCAGTGATTTACAGCTTCCAACAGCATCAGCCAGGTATGGCACGCACATATTTACATTGGTCCAAGCTGGACCCTCCAGAACTCTAAAGATTCAATAACTTGAGGCAACTATACATAGAAACACAAAAGAATGACAGCAGAAGACCAAGTCGGTCCACCAAGTATGCCCCTATTTAACCCTTAGAACACAGATCTAGGTTTGCAGCAAGCATTTTTAACCTCCTCCCGCCCGCCATATAGTAATATGACGGACGCAAGGTGGTTCTCTCATTTTGGGAGGACGTCATAGGACGTCCTCCCATTCTCACTGTGCATGCGCGATCAGGGAGCACGCAGCGCAGCGATCGGCAGTGCGCTGTGTCCCTCGGACACAGTGGATCACCGATCACAGAAGGAACCGAAGATGTTGGCTCGGTCATGTGATCAGCTGTGTCCAATCACAGCTGATCACATGTAAACAGGAAAATGCCGGTTATCGGCATTTCTCTCCTCTCGAGCTGTCACGCTGACAGCTCGAGAGGAGTGGAGAGCAATGTTTCCGCAGAGGTGACATGTGCACTGATGAAGTGTGCCGATGATTAGTGTATGCCACCTGTCAGTGTCCATCAGTGCCTTATGTCAGTGCTCATCAGTGCCTCGTGCCAGTGCCCATCAGTGCCTACCAGTGCACATCATACATATCAGTGCCCATCTGAGCTGCCTTTCAGTGCCTCCCATCAGTGCCGCCTATCAGTGCCATGTATCAGTGCTGCCTTTCAGTGCCCATCAGTGATGCCTGTCAATGCCCATCAGTGCCACCTACCAGTGCCTCCTCATCAGTACCCATCAGTGCAGCCTATCAGTGCCCATCAGTGCAGCCTATTAGCGCACATCAGTGAAGGAGAAAAATCACAGAGCAGTATCGTGCACACAAAAATTTCCATTTATTTTTTTCTGTTGCAGGAGCCTGTAAAGCATTGCACCAGCAATCAGCAGATTGCTGGTGCCATGCAGGTCTTCTACAGATATACTGAAAGAACTACCACAGTGCTCAACAGTGCCATTTTAGTGCATTGAGAACTACAAGCCGACAGCCACTAAAGCGTTGCAGTTTTCTCATTCACAGAAGACTTTGAATGAGTACACCTGGCGGCCTTTTAAAAAAAAAATTTTGACAGCAGATCCCCAGCTAGCTGTCAAAATGGGAGAGTGGGGGCTGGTCCATTCAAAAACGTTACACCCTGAAAAACTGCTTTTTTTTTTATATCGCGCAAAAAAATAAAAATGCACAGGCAATCAAATTCCAAATCAAAAGAAAGTTCAATTTGTGGGGGAAAAAAAAGGACGTAAATTTCATTTGGGTGCAGCATTGCATGACCGCGCAATTGTCAGTTAAGGTAACGCAGCGCCGTAACGCTTCTTTAACCGCTTCCTGACCACCCTACGGCAGAAATACTGCTACAGGGTGGCACAGGTCCACAAAATCGTATTATATATATATATATATATATATATATATATACACGTGATTTGCACCCCGTAGATTTCACGCCCCTCCCAGATAGCATCAGATTGCCTGTCAGTACACCAGTAATCCTATTTAACCCCTTGATTACCAGGAACACGCTCATACACAATAAACCTCCATTGCTAGTATAGTGTCTGAACGGATCAATATCTTTGAACAGATCAGCACTATACCAGCGTTCACATTAGCATAGTGTCCCCAAAAACACAGCATTAACGGGATCAGCCCAGGCACCTGCGTTTAGCCCCTATGCTTACTCCCCCCCCCCAGTGTCAGAAAAGGCTTGGTCTTCAGGTGGTTAGAAGAATGAAAGATTTGTGGCATAAACTTCTAATGCTTGGAAAGTAGACACACCAAATTATTTGCTGAGAGGCATGTTGAGTCAATAGAAGAATTTATTTTTCAGGCTCCTGTATGTGGTTAGACTCCCAATAAGTCTCACACATGTGGTATTCTCATACTCAGTAGAAATAGCAGAATGTATTTTGGGGTGTAATTCCACATATACCCAATGGCTTGTGTGAGAAATATATCATTTAAATGACAACTTTGTTTTAAAAGAAAAAGTTTGTCATTTTCCAAAAACTTGTGGAAAAAAATAAATCTTCCATGGACTCAATATGCCTCTCAGCCGATAGCTTAGGGTGTCTACTCTCAGAAAAGGGGTCATTTGGGGGTGTTTGTATTGTCCTGGTATTTTAGCACCTTGAGAAATGTGATAGGCAGTCAGAAAGTAAAAGCTGTGTAAATTCCATTATCTATACCATAGTTTGTAGACGCTATAACTTTCACACAAAGCAATCAATATACACTTATTGGGATCTTTTTTAACCAAAAACATGTAGCAGAATACATTTTGGCCTAAATTTATGACTAACGTTGAGTTTACTATATATTTTTTTATAGCCGAAAGTAAAAAATATAGTTTATCTTCAAAATTTTCTGTCTTTTTTTGTTTATAGTGTGAAAAATAAAGTGCACAGGTGATCATATACCACCAAAAGAAAGCTTGATTTGTGTGAAAAAAGGACGTAAATTTCGTTCGGGTACAGCATTGCAAGACTGCGCAATTATCAGTTAAAATAGTGCAGCGCTGAATAGCAAAAAGAGGCCTGGTCATGAAGGGGGGTAAATCCTCAGGAGGGCAAGTGGTTAAGTAGGTACTTTTACAAAACTAAAATAAAGGTAATCAAATGCTGCCAAGAGCAACCAATCAGAACCAACCTTTTCCCCCTTTTTTTAAACAAAATATGTGAAATCAAACATCTTAGCTGTTAAAACCACTTAGTATTATTTATTATCGCAAGCTATATAATATGAAGCTGCAACATTTGCATATTCACAAACTGTATTAGATTACTTCCTGATTTCATATTGCAGTCAGTGTCACTGACACCAGTATCTGAAAACTTTCTAGGAATTTGTGTGCGCGATACTGCTCTGCACTCATACCTGCATCTAGTGTTTATTGTGCAGGAGTGTGAAATTCTTCACAAGTGCTTAAATTCTTTGAAAACAATTCTTTACCTAGCACGAAAAATATATCCACCCACACAGCAGATAAAATGGGTTTCATGAAGGCTATATTTAGATAATTTCCCTTTTTACAGAAGCTCCAATACTTCTAAGTGTCTACAAATTTCAAGATTCAGGGACTCTAGGGGCCAGCTTGCTTTTCTCTCTTTAATAAGGTTGATAAGAAGATAATTGCTAAAACTTCTCTGGTTATTTCCTGGCTCTTCATAATAAACACCGCACATATTTAGGAGACGCAAACACAGAAGCCATCAGCTTTTCAACGTGCTCTCTTCCTTTTTCTAGTTCTGCTTATATCCTGTGACAATGTATGCTATTTGCCATTGCATTCCTTTTTATTTTTTTCAATAAAATAGAATGCACATGTTTGAACGTCTCCCTCTAACTCCCTCTACTTTTTGCAAAGAGGGGTTTCTAAAAGTATAAGCGCTCATTAGGATCAATATTCTTTTGGATGAGTACTTTCTATTTACCTTCACAAAAATCCATTTGGTGTAAAGAAGACCTTGTAAACAAAGAAAAAAAAAAGACCTATTTAGAGAAAATATAAGAAAGAATGCATTTTTTTTTTTTTACAACATGGCAGCAGTGATATTAGCGTTGGTCTTTACTTTTACCAGAAAACTGCAGTGTTGAGTGTAGCAATCGTGCCCACAGAGAAGGATGCAGTCCTCCATTTTGTTAAGAATTTTCCATGTTGTACCATTTCTCACTACCAAAGCAGGCTGCCTCTTCCAATCATCCCCGTCCCTCTCTGTTGAGTGACATATGGTCTGAGTGCATTTGCAGAAGTCACAGACAGCCAAGGCACACCAGGAGGGCATGCTGGCTATAAAACCTCACTAGCTGGGGTCTAGCTGTCTAAGAAACTGTGCAATCTGGCATATCGTAAAAGTGTAAACAGAGTCCCTCACTGAGTTCAAAGACATTCCAGAGCAGTAATCAACTAGATACCGCATTCAAAAATCCATTTTCCCCCTATGATTTCTTATCTTGGAATATGAGGGACTTACACAAAAAACAGGCATATCTTCACATTGGTCACGGTAAGACAAATGGTTTGGTATACTACATTCCCTAGCTGAGATCAATAGGAGAGCAGAAAATAAAATCTCCTTAATCATCCCAGCAGGTATGTTATATTTCATATGTAGATCTTCCGCAGACAATTCTGCATATTAATCTACCCGTGGGTGGGATGTTACATGTACCTAGGAAAAGTTATGGGCCAAAATATAAGCTATGAGAGTTTCTGATTATAATTTAAGTCTCCACCTACACTCCCCTCCCCAAAAGGAGACGATTGGGTACTACTCCAAAGAGACATCCTGCTGAGATGCTAGAAAAAGGGCTGTTATGCTTGGAGTTGGGTGTGAGAGAGAAAAGAAGGGTCTTCCTGTAACATCGAAACTGAGTGAGAGACCAGAAATCCTTTTTTGAGCTCATAAGACTTGAAACTGCTTAAACCAAGGCTGATTGGCAAGTACTTTAACCCTTTAAACTCCTGTTCTCTTTGCTGTGCTATTGTTCTCTGTATATTTATATATATATTGGTTACATCTTTTTTTCTGTAAATATGTTTATTGCACCCTTTTGTCCTTTTAGTAATAAATCTTTCTTTCTGAAAGTGTTGAACTATTTCTAAAGCTCTTTAATGCAACTTATGAATTCCTGCCGCTGAAGAGCGCTACTATGTGTGTTTAACCCTCTGTATAACCTGCCTGCGGTGACAGTGGTATACAGATGATTATTTCAACCATCATAGTGTTATTGCTGATATTGCCGAGTTTCCTCTTTCTCTGTACAAAAAGGGAGGTGGTGGCAGTGTGAAGGGTTGTGTAATTAACCTGACCCAGTAACAATCGCTCCCAGGCTGCAAGTACACAGGTTGTGGTCCATTAGCTGGAAAATCTTTGAGCAGGGTGCAACTCGGCATGGCATTGTTATGCACGTGACATCGCGGTTTTAGATTGGCTAGTCCTTCGGTCACGAGTTTGGTGAGAAGGGCAGGGATCTGACATCGCGATCGTCACATTGAGAGTATTAGACAATAAGAAAATGATACAGATAACTGGTTTAAAAATTTACTATATATGAATGGTCACTCACCACAAGCCATTGATTTAACAATTGTGGTAATTTTAGATTTAAATAATTATGTAAGTGTTAACATAATAAAATATACATTTAATAGATTCTTTAGGCTGTGCAACATTGATGCAAAGCTAGGGCATTTTTATTTACAGTGCTATTAATGCATCCCTATAATGTACATTTAATTTTAACAAATCTATTGTGTTAACAAAACTGGCCCGTGTTAAGAACTTCTGATTTGAAATGATATATATATATATATATACTATATATATATACTCTGTATGGAATCAGCATTATAATGAGATACTTGAAAGGCATTGGTCACCTTTGGAAACCTCCAAACCTGTTAGAACCCTGCCTTTATTCTGGGTAATTCATCTGGTGAGTTATTTTCATACTGGTGGAAAGCATCACACAGACACTATATGACAGAGTGAGGAGGTCTACTGCAGGGGTCTCCAAACTTTCTAAGCATAAGGACCAGCTTACTGTCCTACAGACTTTAGGGGAGTCGGACCGGAAAATGACCTGGCATCAGTGGGAGTAAACAATGCCCCATCTTTGGTGTTAGTGAGAGGAGTTGTGCCCCATCGATGGTGTCAGGAGAAATGATGCCCAATCATTTGTGTCATTGGACCCCATTCTTGGTGTCATTGGTATGAACTGTGCTCCATCATTGGTGGGAATCGTGTCCCATCATTGGGAGGAATTTGTT